GTTAGTGACAGTTGAGATATGGGTGAAATAGAGCGTACAAAGTCTGCCAGATGGACATGGCCCTCGGAATCCAACAGCACGTTGTCTGGCTTGATGTCCCTGTGCACGATGCCCTGCTGGTGGATGTAGCGCACGGCGCAACCCAGCTGGGCTATCCAGAAGCGCACTGCTTCCTCAGTAAACGTCTTTCGCGAGATGTGGAAGCGTAGATCGCCGCCGTTCATTAAGTCGACCACAATGTATCTGGAACTGTCAGCTTCGTGCCCAGGCTGTCGACACGGCGGAAGACATACAGATATTCGATATCTTGGAAACTATAGCGCAAGTTGCAGAGGAAGGGGTGGTTCAAGTGCTCGAGCATGCGCCGCTCTCGAATGATGTTGCGAACACTCTCGGAGCGTACCACTGTCGCACAACGTCAGCATCGGTCCCTGCTAGCATGCAGTCGCACATTGTGCACACACCTTCATCTTTCCGGATGTACTTGAGCGCAAAAGTGAGGCCCGTGTCTTTCCGCTCGACGATGCGCACCTTGCCGAATGCGCCCTTGCCAACAACTCGCAGCAGTCGGAAGTGGTTGAGGTTTACTGCTGGAGAGTTAGTGACGGTGTTCGCTGCCCTCTTCTTGCACGTTCAAGGCTCTGATGCTTCAAGGCTCTGAGGCCCGAAGACGCTTTTGTGGAGACGCACCTTGGTCGGTGAAGACGACGGGCTTGCCGTTGCTCTGACCCATGGGAGGCTACAATGGCAGACTGCCTGAGGAATGGAAATGCGTGTCTAGTAATGCATCAGGCGAAGGATGGACGTGGCCGGGGGTGCTTCGGCGGCCTGGTGGTGGGGACGGCGGTGGAGACGGCGTTGTGGTTGCGGGCGGGCGTGGTCTGGATGGCAGGCGAGGGCGGGCGGGTAGTCGGGGATTATTAAGGCAGAAGCAACTGGCAGCAGACGTGAGATAGAAGTAAAGCAGAGTTGAAAGGAGGGCCCGACAGGATTGAAGAAGCACGTTTCGCAGGCGTGGCCCAAGGAAGATTAGTGTCGGCAGGACTAGTGGCTAGGGAATGCATGGGTTACACGTTTTGAGTCGCATCCCTGCACCACGACTGGGCCATCAAAGACGACCGAAGCTGCTACGAGGCAAGCGTTGATGCTCCCCTAGTCATGGTCAGCCACAGTACAACGCCCACCCACGAGGCCTGGCCGCACTCTACTCAAACCGAGCCATGGTTGTAGTTGAGCACGACGCCATTGTGTGCGTCTAGAGACGTCTAGCTTGCCAGGTGAGACTGCCCGGCAAGCTCCATGCATCACGAATCCCATGTGCAGCCTGCCTACCCACGCAACCTCGTTACGGGACGGCGCACTCTATCTGAGCCGTCAGAGCCCCAAGGTTTCTGGGGTTCAGCGAGACGTCGTCCTGCTCCCGTCTGATCTGCACTAAGCTCGGACTCGTCGTGAAACACATCTTCAACCACAGGCCCGACGCCGCGCAATCATAGCACTGGCTTAGCTCGGGAGTCGTTATAATTTCCTCCTGCAACCACCACATATCGAGGCTGGCAGCATACACCTGTCTCGCCGATTTTGGCCTTTCTCCAAACTCTTCATCGTCGTTGATAAGACCAAGCATCGCTCCCGGAGCCGGCGCCGATTGGGCTTTCCTCCATTAGTTTCTTCTCCTCAAGACCCGCTTTCTTCTACTAACAACGTAGAACCGTGCGACGGGCGACCACCTCTGCAGCAAACCAGCTGCGGGTACTCAGGCCGGCGCTGAGAGCCACGTCAAGCGGAATTGCTTTGGCATCCTTCGCGGCCTTTTGACGAGAATACAAGAGAACAAGTCGCTCGCTCAACCCAGTAGCGCACATGGCCGCTGCAGTACCAATGCTCACAACGCCGACCTCGACGGTTGGCGCGCACATTGTATTCCCGGGGCCATCTTGGCTAGGCAAACCTTCACTCCTCTTATGCCAGACGTAATGGTCTTGGCCGATCCTTCCGTGCCTCCTCCAGGGACCTGCACTAGTCCACCACCCCCTGTCACTAATTGCCAACTACTCCTCCTGCTTGGCCAACTCTCGTTCCCCAAGACACCACCACGACTACACCGTGGCTCTCTCGGGAAATTCTGAGTCGGCATGCATGCATCCCTGCTTACAACCGCTCCGGCCCGATCGCTCAACCCCCGTTGACAACTGTTGCACGACAGCTCAGCACAGCAGGCACAAGCAAGACTCTTTCGCGGATGCGCGCCGCTGCAGTCGTTGCATGTCTCTGTACGTGGGTGCGTAGTACTGAGTTTCGGCTGAGCCCACACCAGGCTAAAGAGCTCGCGTTCTAGAAGACTTCCGCTTCCTCCGACCTGCAGCAGTGTGGACACCATTCCACGCGACTACTGCGTGTCGCCTGCAGCCATGTGGACTTGTTCAGCCTCGTAGTGCCATCTCCTAATCAAGTCTGCCGCTGGCTACGGTTGTAGCTCATCTCCTCCTGAAGCCTGACGCCTCGTGTCGGGTCCTCAATGCTGGGGCAACCCTTTGCGCCCTCCTGCGCGCATGTGGTACAGCAACTCCTGATGCAATGCAGCCCCTATGCGTTGGCATCCAACCGGAGCTTATCCGTTCCCAGGTCCTTGTTGCTGGTCTTGCTCCCGCGAGAACAAGACCAGTGTTTCTCCAGTACAGTGGTGCCTGACGGGTATCGATCGATGTTGTCCACTCTCCTGGGTTCCAGCCTTGCAGACATGCGATCCCGCGGAAGAACCGTCTACTAGACATATCGGCATCACTAAGACAGATAGGCTACTCCTGCGATCCTCGCTTAATATGAGATTGCATCAATCTGCAGCAGACTGGCGTCGACAGCCCCTTGGGTCCTGATTGGCTGGATTTGTATGCTTGTATGCAACTGGTGCTTTGATACGAACAAGCCACTGGCTATGAGATGTAGTCCCATTCGCAAGCTCCGGCAACTCTACTGGCGCTATCATGCACCTCAGAACTACCTACCAGACCTGAAACACTTGTTTCCATGCATTCAGCTCAGCTCAATGTGCGAGCGGTGCTTTTGCCTCCAATTAGCGCCTTCGGGATCAATCTCATGGGCACGGACCTCGCGTGAAAGACTGCGGCATTCAAAGATGGTTCCGCGAAACGTGGCCTGCAATCCCTCGGCGTCATGTTGCGGAGAAGAGCATTAGGTTCTACGCTGGATCAGAATAGGAAGTCGATTACGCTGGCTTAATATGGCTGAAAAGCCTCACGAAAAGCCTCTCACAGCTCCTAAGTTGGTTGGATAAACAACCTGCACTTCATGCACGTAAGCTATGATCATCCTAGCAAACACGAGCTTGGGGCGAGCGGATAGGATTTGTACCACAATAGTCTGCATTGTTTAGCACAAGGAAGTCCCACGCTGATCACTGTATCACTGTATCACAGGCAAAAGAGCTGGTAGATGTGCTTCGCAAGTATCTTCAACTCCGGTGAACATTCGGCAGATCCGGCATCGAAGCGAAGACTACACATCTACAGATCAATCCCTCTCAGTGTGGATCTTAGTGCGGAACTAGGCACTATTCCCGACGACCAATACAGGCATCGATCCTATGTACATATACGACAGAAGGAAGACAGCCTGATATGGTAGTACCGGGTGTTTTTCCAACTCAATCAGGACGCTATCGACTCTATCCTCGAGCTCCTACAGATCATGCATACAGCGATATCCCTGTCCGCTTACGCGGTACTACCCGAAGCTCGTATTCTCAGACCAAAAATACAGCATCGGTATGGGTACCCGCAGACGCATGGATCTGACCTCGCTCGTTGAAAGTGTAGTAAGATTTGTAGTCCGCCCGTTCAGAGAGAGGCGGCCTTCGTGCGGCACATGCGGCAGTCGTTCTATACGACTGAGATACCACGTGGTGTCTCGCACAGCGGTGTGCAGGGCCAACGCTAAGCAGCCATGGCGTCGGGTGCCTCGTCACGCAAGCGTGAAGTTTGCTTTTGCGGAACTATAGTACTATCGTGGTATGACGCCTGGAAACAAAAGGAAGTCGCATGGATGCCCAAGCAGCTCGTCGATCGGCTCCCAAGCCTCGGAATCGTTTATCCAGACAGCAATGATCTTCTTGTAGAACAAGCCCACAGGATGTCTAGACACGTGATGGATTACCTGATGCACTGCTTGCGTGATGCTCTGTGCAGTTGGCTTTTGTCGATACAACCTCTATGTCTGGATGTTTGTAGACTAGTAGAACGCTAGGAATCTAGGTTCTGAGTCCCATCAGTCAGGCAAGTATACGCGACTTCTGTGCCTCGACGTCAAAAGAATGGGTGCGTGAGATCCTGGTCCTGCCAGGATATACATTGAATGATGACAATTCATTCTCAATATTATCCGTGGTTGAACTGCTTCACGCCGTGGGGTGCATCATAGTCAGCTCGGGATGCTAGATTGGCGCGCGAAAAGCCATTCTCTTAGTAATGGATCAGTATTATATCGTTGTGAATGTAGGAAGATGGAAGCAACCTGAAACCGGGGCAACCTTGGAAGGCCGCATATACTAGATCCACGGGCGACTTGAGGACGATTGGTCAAGCTGGGGTAGATCTAGGCGGCTCTTTCCGAAATCAGTCAGGACAGAGATATTTTTCCTGTTCTGGCCAAAAGAGGCAATCGCGCTGAAGTGTGCCTCCCATAATGCTAGCTGCTGTATTGCGGTCTGTGAGTGTGCACGGCTATTGACGGTGCCAAGCGGCTGCTGCAGGGTCGCCGACGACGTTGCGCATTGTTAGCTATGTGCGGAGTGCAATGCGGTACCTGTAACGGTCTTCACTCGAGTGTACCATTGTAGCGATGCAACGTTGGTGGCCTCTGGTTCCTCGGTTCGGCAGGCACTAAGCCCTATGCCCAAGCTTCAACACGTTGCGGCTACCCTACCCAGCACGACGTCGAGCAACACACGATGCACTCAACCAGCAACCCCAGCTCCGCACGTCATGAACGGGGCAGATACACGGACATACGCTGAATCGCATACGACGGGCCAGCTGCCTACGCCAACCTCAACGCCCGAACCGGACGATCTGGCACTCCCGGGTGCCCGCCGCAACAATGAAGCCAGGAGCGAGGAACCGCTGCACAGCATGACAAATGGCTCCAGGGTCGAGGCAAACAGCGCAATTAGTTCGAATACCACGAGCAGGAGGCCGAGCGTGCACGAAGAAGCTATCCTCTCAGACACAAGCGAGAAGATACGGCCTATCAAGCGGCCTGGAGATGCTCGGAGAAGGAGCAGCGTGTCAGAGCACGAGAAGATTCTCAAGCTCAGTCCCCGCCAGATTCAAGAGCTTACGAGTGAACCTGCGAGCATCCCAGTGCGAGCAGCGACTCCGATTCTTGAGGACGAACTAGAAGACGTCACACCGCTGGAAGACGCGGACGGACAGGGCAAGAATAAGCTCCTGGGCGTGGTACTGGAGCGGCCAGTGGAGCTGAATGGCGAGACTAGGAAAGAGAAGGGCTTGGGAGGGCGAGATGCACCACGGGAGAAGGAGGTTGTCCTTATCAAAACATCTGCAACTGAATTGCGAAACGGCCGGCCTGTCCTCAGCTCACGATCCATCACTACGCCCTCGCTCACACGGAGGACGTCATCCAGGTCGCGGTCACGCACACATATGCAGACGCAAGAGACAGAGGACCGGAGGCACGGCAGACATGTTCCTCCGCCATCGAGTCTGGACCACAGAGATGGCACATCAAAAGGCCACGACCGACATAAAGAGACGCGCGAGATGCGGGACCAGGTTTCGCCAATCGCTCTCCCGCTGCCGCCAATGTCAATGCCGACTTTTCTCTCGCTAGAACTTTCTGCAAACCGCCCCTCTCCGCTGTACATATACCGTCCAGCGACGACAGACTTTCCTTATGAATCGTCCGAGATCAAGTACGAGCGGTTGCTCAACTTCCTGAGGATACCGCTGAAAATTGAGGGCATATTGGGTTTTGGCGCTCTGGCTTGTCTCGATGCATGGATGCACGTTCTGACGATCCTCCCCCTCCGCTTCCTGCTTGCTGTCCTCATCTTGGTCAAATGGTGGGGCTCCGTCATTGTCAAAGAATTCCGTGATCTCTGGGCTTTTGTCTATGATGGCCTTCCTCGCTTTTGGCAGCGCAGGAAGCAGACCGACGTCCCCACGCCTCTACCAACGCCCGCCGACGAGGTGGCTCCGTCAATGTCGCGTAAAACGTCGTCCTCGACCGTTCCTCCAGTTAGTGCTACGGCTAGGCAGAGTCCGCACGTGTCGACAACCTTCAAGTTTCCAGACATGAATGAGCTCAGAGCGCGCCGGCCTCGTAACTCTCGATTCCGTCATCGGCGCACCAAGTCTACGCCATCAACGCTGCAACCAAGTCATAAAGCAGACATATTGAAAGGTCTCCTAGTCATCGCCAGCTGCTTTGTCTTAATGCGGTTCGATGCCAGTCGCATGTACCATGGCATTCGTGGCCAGTCAGCGATCAAGCTCTATGTCATCTACAACGTTCTCGAGGTATGTGACCGTTTGCTTTCGGCTGTTGGTCAGGATGTGTTGGAGTGTCTCTTTTCTCGTGAGACTCTGGATCGCAATCCCGACGGTAGAAGCAAGGTTCTCCGGCCACTCGGGATGTTTGCCCTCGCACTTGTATACACTGTTGCCCATGCTACAGCGCTGTTCTACCAGGTCATCACTCTGAACGTGGCTGTCAACTCCTACTCGAACGCACTACTGACACTGCTCATGTCCAATCAATTTGTGGAAATCAAAGGGACCGTGTTCAAGAAGTTTGAGAAAGAGAACCTTTTCCAGATCACCTGTGCAGACATTGTAGAACGCTTCCAGCTCTGGCTCATGCTTCTCATTATTGCAATGCGCAATGTCGTTGAAGTTGGCGGCCTCAGTATCCAGAGCAGCGATACGTCGTGGACGGCCATGTTCACTGGATCCGCGAATGCGTCCACAACTCCATTCAAGGCCTCGAGTATCATACCCATGAGCTTTACTATCTTCCCCAAGTACATCGCTCAGGTACTCAATCCGTTCCTACTAGTGTTGGGCAGCGAGATGTTTGTTGACTGGCTGAAACACGCGTACATCACCAAGTTCAACCAGTACAAACCGGAGGTGTATAGCAAGTTCTTTGACGTTCTAGCCAAGGACTACTATTCAAACGTAAGCTGCCTCGTTCTTTCTACACTTTCTAGCTAACACTCACAGGCCTTTGCTGATGCAGACTTGACACGACGCCTGGGCTTGCCAGTCATACCACTGTCCTGCCTCTTCATCCGTGCTGCTATCCAGACCTACCACATGTTCATTGCCATGCACATGCCGCCTCCCCTCCACACAACATCGACATCACTCTCTTCGGACCCCGCCTCCTCCCCCACCACGACCGCAGCTCTCGCCCATATTGACCATGTCTTCCGCCGCGCTCTGGGTCGTTCTTCCTTTGGCGCTGGTGTTCCCTCCCAACCCTGGTATCATCCCCTCTCCTATACTCTCGATGATCTGATCGCCGGCTCGACCATGCTCATCGTCTTCCTCGTTGGCTACTTTATCTTCCTTGCTTTCAAACTTATCCTTGGTATGCTGCTGCTGTCCATCAGTCGCAAGCGCTATCACGGTATGCAGGAGCGAGAGAAGATGAGCGTTGAGACTGGGGGTAAGAGGATCGGGGGCTGGGGCGTTGTTGATGTGGACGAGGAGAAGAGGAAGGTAATCTACGATGATGATCCCGAAACGCTGAAGCGGTTGAGGGAGAGAGACGAGAAGGGTAGGAAAAAGGAGCAGGAAGAGAGGGAGAAGGGGACAAGCTTTGGTCACGTTAGTCGATATGCGATGGTCGCTAAGAGAATATGGTGATGTAGTTTAGTTTGTTCCTATATCATTACGACTCGTTTCAATCTTCCAGACTATGTTCACATCTTCGGTTTGTTTACTACTTGGTATGTTACACGCTCGCAACAATACCTTGATTCGGGTCAAATATCGCGTATCTGAGCATCTATTGAATCCTACCGAGGTTGGCGTTAGTGCTATGCGCTAGTGGCACGCCATTCAACAGCATCGGCCGTAACACGTCTGCCTTTATCGCAAGCACTCTCCTTGACATTCTACCGTTTCGTCGTCATCCTTGAACGCCCAAAACTGGATTTGACCTTTTCGCTCAGCGCATAATACTCCGGTCTCTTTTCATCTGACCACAACTCAACATGGCCGAACAATCCATTCCCAAACAAAAGCCCTTCATGGAACAACTAGCGTTGAAAGAGGTTGGGAAGGATGAGTACGAAATGATCAACCTACCTCAGAAGATGGGCAATCCGCTGGATATCGCGTACGGCGGCTACGCAATCGCCGTGGCATGCAAAGCGGCGTCTCTCACAGTACCGGAAGGCTACCATCTCTACTCTATGCAAGGAAACTACCTGGGGCCAGCATACACGGACCGGCCTCTGCGGGCCAGTGTGCGAGTAGTAAGGCAAACAAGGACATTTGCGACACGACAAGTGGAAGTGAGCCAGACGACCGATGCCGGAAAGGAAGGAAAAGAAGGAGGGAAAAGAGTATGCCTTCTTGCAACGGCGGACTTTATGGTCGCAGAGACTTCGTCCCTGTTATCATACTCCCAAGCTCCCTTGAACAGCTATCCAGACTGGAAGGATTGCCCCACACCATCGGTTGCGTATTCCGGTCTTGTCGCAGAGGGGAAGATGTCGCAGAAGATGTTAGATGCGCACGCAGTAGCCTTCAATCTGCTGAACCACCTCTACGACCAACGTCTCTGCCCCAATGCCATCTTCGCGCAGAACCTCTACGGCATCGCAAAAGAGCTCCCGCATACACAAGACGACCTCCCTCCCTCGTCGCGTACGACTGCAGATTGGATCCGCAGCAAGGAAATCCTACCCAAGCCTATCGACCACATCACCGCACTGACTTTCCTCATCGACACCGCTATTGCGTTCTTACCGCTGTCGTTCAACCATCGCTGGTTTGACGACGTAAGTGCAGTGTCTAGTTTGGATTTCTCGTTGAGGATCTTTGCGAACGAGGTGGATGTGAATGGGTGGTTGCTCAGGGAGTTGAGAGCGCCGGTTGCGGACCAAGGACGTAGTTTTGGCGAGGCGTGGATATGGGACGAGGAGGGTAAGGCGGTGGCGTGTATGAGTCAGCAGAGTATTTTGAGGCCGACAAAGAAGAAGGCGAAGGGGAAGTTGTGATTATCCTGGGAGATGGTGGAGGTGTTTGGGGTGTTGGGATTGGAACATGGTTGTGTTTTGAGCATATGTACTATAGATGTCGCAATTACAAGTCTCGCATTCAGTTCAAGACGCAGAATGCGAAACCGACACTCATAGATTACTCAGACGCGGTGTGCCAACAAGCTCATCAGCGCTACCCCAGGCTGACCCGGAACGTTAATGTACATCTGGGTATAATCGGCCCGACGGATCTGTCAGAGTGAAGACGCAATCGCAACCGAAGATCCTCGGCTGTAGATATCGCGAGCCTGCTATCACAGCATGTGGGAACGAAGCGCAACCGATCCTCCTCGGCTTGGGTACCACGACCCTGATTCTTTCGTTCATCTCCGGAACCTTGGGAAGCGCAATAGTTCGATGCTGCGCAGATTGTTGCCTAGCGCTGTGGGCCCCTTTCAAGTACCCAACCATCTATCCCGCTGTACGTCCATCAGGGCTCGAGCGCGAGAAGCGCTGGTCTCGGTTAACATCAGAGTGCTGCCTCCCGGCTACGATGATAAGGCATGACATGCCAATTGCTGACCGGACTCAAACCGTCTTGGAGTAGAGTGCCCAGCGGGCGTATGTGACATGCCAGCTGCTTACTGGTAGAAGAGTGTAAGACTCACACCACTTGGATGGTACGACCTGCTTCCACGTCTTGAATCGATCATTGGATGGCGTGCATGGCGCTTGAGGGGAAGAGCAGGTACAGTCAGCAGCGCACATTGATAGAGCGCGCGAATTCAACGGGATTTGAGGTATATCGAGGTGGTTCAGCCACACACGACCGGTGGTCGGAAAAGCCAAGATCCGCTGTTCATGGCCGCCGTGTCGTCCCGTAATCCCTGCAACAGCATCAGTAAACAAAGCGTCCCTTGGAACCGGCGAGCCGAAAAGTAACGGCTGTGGAGTAGAAGTGTAGAGACACGACGGGAACCGGAAGCTTTTGAAGACGAACAGGGTCAGAGAGTATGCCAGGGTAAGGCTGAACGACCGTTCCACCTTCCGTGGTACCGGAACGAGCGATATCCGCCGCCGAAAAGGGCGCTAGAAGCGTGTAGCCACGAGCGGCAGGTCGAACCCGATACAGAAACCCAATACCGAGCAGCTGCCACGCAACGCTTTGGGGCCGTCCCCACAAATCTTCACCCTGAATCTCGCGAATTTCGTCCGCGCAGATTGTAGTCAGGGTCTGGAGCTGTTGTTTGTTTAGGAGGTGGCACAGGAGCGTGGTCGATTGGATCGTTGCCCGCGGCGATATGCATAGTCGCACAGGGAAGAAGTGCACGACGTCAACGACGTCAAGACAATGTACTGTTCCTTCAGTCGTCTACCTGCGCACCCCTACGATTACTGAGACAATCGACTGTAGACGGCTGTTTTCTTTTGGGCCATAGGCGAGGATTCGCTTTCTCTTTCGCTTATCTTAGAGGGTAAATGGGCTAGGTATGACCTTAGCCAAGCCTTAGAGTAAGCCCCGGGCTTTAGTCGGACGAACAAGCTCGGATCATGGCGCTGTATACAGACTGTAGACTATGCATATTCCACAGCCGTGGTAGCTGGAGAGTGCTGCCTGGGGGTGCGACATCAGAGGAGCCGCATGGAAACGGCGATCGTCGACCGCCGCAACGCAGTTCGTCCGATGATAATTCTCGAAACGACAGTGGCGGACAGAGAATGAGTCTAATTCGCGTCACCGTAGTCTCTTCGTTCTGATTGGCTGTTAGCCTGATGGATATCGTATGCACCGTATCCGAGGGGATACGCTAGCTGTTCTCGCTGCAAGCGAAGCCCAGCGCCCCGGGCAGGCAGGCCATCCGTCTCCGGTTTGCAAGCCAAGCCGTCAGTCCGCCGCCCGCTGGACCAAATCCTTTACTGGGGCCGCCTGGGCTGTCCTCATTAGCTGCGCCTACCTTTATTATTACCTACCTCAATCCCCCGGTCTTGTCGTTGTTGTTCTTACCATACAACCTCTACCACTACTACCTTTTTAATACTTGTCCTTCTTTCCGTTTCCCTTACACCTGACTAATATTGGCCATCAAGTGGCGATCTCTCGCCCAACATGTCCTTAGTCGGGAACTTTACCTCCAACTATGATCGGGAGGCTGTATCCGGCGGCGTTCCACCACCAGAGATGGGTGGCAGACGACCTTCAAACTACAACGACAACGAGCAAGCTGCCGAGTCAGATGCTTCAACCATAGCAGCTGCCGAGAACTCACCACCAAGGAGCAACAACCAATATGCCGACCAAAAGGATGGATCTTACAACACACATGACGCGGACGAAATCGCCGAGGCTAATAGGAGAGAAGAGGCCGTTCACGCACTTGCCCGACGACTTACCTCGCAAAGTCAAATGTCTTCAGCCAACCAGAACCCTTTCAACGCAGCACCAAATTCTTCGCTAGACCCTAATGGCGAGCATTTTAATGCACGAGCATGGACGAAGGCCATGCTTAACCTCCAGTTGAACGACGAAAATGCACCACCTACACGAACTGCTGGTGTTTCTTTCCGCGACCTCAACGTTCACGGTTTCGGAGCCGACACTGATTACCAAAAGAGTGTTGGTAACGTGTGGCTGGATGGACCTGGACTCGTCAGGAAAGTCATGGGTAACAAGGGTCGCAAGATTAACATTCTACAACACTGCGATGGTCTGGTCGAGGCTGGCGAGATGTTGGTTGTTCTTGGACCTCCTGGATCTGGTTGCTCTACTTTCCTCAAGACTATCACTGGAGAGACACACGGCTTCTTCGTTGACGAACACTCGCACATTAACTACCAAGGTACGTTCGCAATTGAAGTGATATAGTAGCCCTTTTTACTGACTACGACCAGGTGTCAGCCCAGAGCTCATGAACAAGAACTACCGTGGTGAAGCCATCTACACTGCCGAAGTCGATGTTCATTTCCCCATGATGACCGTTGGAGAGACTCTTTACTTTGCTGCTCAAGCACGTCGCCCGAGGAACATCCCTGGTGGCGTCAGTGTGCAGCAATTTGCTGAGCACCAGCGCGATGTCATCATGGCCCTGTACGGAATTTCTCACACTATCAACACCCGTGTTGGTAACGACTTCCTCCGTGGTGTATCTGGAGGAGAGCGAAAGCGTGTCACTATCGCTGAAGCTTCCCTCAGCAGAGCGCCACTGCAAGCTTGGGATAACTCCACCAGAGGTCTCGACTCCGCAAACGCCATCGAGTTCTGCAAAACCCTCCGCATGGAAACCGAGATCAACGGCACCACTGCCTGTGTTGCCATCTACCAGGCGCCTCAGGCTGCCTACGACCTCTTCGACAAGGCACTTGTGCTCTACGAGGGCCGCCAGATCTTCTTCGGAAAGACCACTGAGGCGAGGGCCTTCTTCGTCAACATGGGTTTCCACTGCCCCGACCGTCAAACCGATGCCGATTTCTTGACTTCCATGACCAGTCCTTTGGAGCGCATCGTTCGCGAGGGCTTCGAGGACCGTGTTCCTCGCACCCCTGACGAGTTCGCGCAGCGCTGGTTGGAGTCTCCTGAGCGAGCAGCTCTTCTACGCGACATTGAAGCCTACGAGCAAAAGTACCCCATTGGTGGCGAGGCTGCCGAGCGCTTCAAGGAGTCGCGCCAGCTTCAGAAGGCCAAGGGTCAGCGTGAGAAGTCGCCTTACACTCTCTCATACGTCCAGCAAGTCAAGCTTTGCTTGTGGAGAGGTTTCGTTCGCTTGAAGGCAGATCCCAGTATCACCGTCACCCAACTCGTCGCCAACTCCATCATGGCCCTCATCATCTCGTCCGTCTTCTACAACCTCCCATCGACCACTTCCAGTTTCTACTCTCGCTCCGCTCTTCTCTTCTTTGCTATCCTGATGAACGCCTTCGGTTCCGCCCTCGAGATTCTGACCCTTTACGCTCAACGTCCCATTGTCGAAAAGCACTCGCGCTACGCCTTGTACCACCCGTCCGCCGAGGCCTTTGCCAGTATGTTGACCGATATGCCGTACAAGATTGTCAACGCCATCACCTTCAACTTGGTCCTGTATTTCATGACGAACCTTCGACGAGAACCCGGAAACTTCTTCTTCTTCATCCTGATTTCCTTCACATTGACGCTCGTCATGTCCATGTTCTTCCGTTCCATTGCCGCTTGCTCTCGCTCCCTTGTCCAGGCTTTGGCACCCGCCGCCATCCTCATCTTGGGTCTTGTCATGTACACTGGTTTTGCCATTCCTCCTAGCTACATGTTGGGTTGGTCCAAGTGGATCCGTTACATCAACCCTGTCAGCTACGGTTTTGAGGCCCTCATGGTGAACGAATTCCACAACAGAAATTTTGAGTGCAACGACTTCCTCCCATCAGGTCCTGGCTACGAGGATATCTCTGGCCTTCAACAAGCCTGCAGGACTATCGGATCTGTTCCTGGACAGCCATTCGTCAACGGTGATGACTACATCAACTCGGCCTTCGACTACTATGCGAAGAACAAGTGGCGCAACTTCGGTATCATGTGGGCCTTCATGTTTGGTCTCATGGGCGTCTACCTTGTTGGTACTGAGTACATCACTGCTAAGAAGTCCAAGGGTGAAGTCCTTGTCTTCCGTCGTGGCCACAAGGCAGCTGCCCCCAAGAGCAAGTCTGAAGAAGATCTTGAGGCCGCCGTTCCCGGACGTAACGTCACTGCCCAGAACGATTCCGACAACATTGCCATCATCGAACGCCAAACTGCCATCTTCCAATGGGAGGACGTCTGCTACGATATCACAATCAAGAAGGAGCCCCGCCGCATTCTTGACCACGTTGACGGATGGGTCAAGCCCGGTACTTTGACTGCGCTCATGGGTGTCTCTGGTGCCGGTAAAACGACGCTTCTCGACTGCTTGGCCACACGTACCACTATGGGTGTTATTACTGGTCAAATGCTGGTCGACGGCAAGCCTCGCGATGACTCTTTCCAGCGCAAGACAGGTATGTTTTCCTGTACTGATCCCCTTTCTGCGACCGTCTGCTAACGTCATGTCCAGGTTACGCCCAACAGCAAGATCTTCATCTCTCCACCTCGACTGTCCGTGAAGCCCTTACCTTCTCCGCCGTTCTCCGTCAGCCAGCACACGTCTCTCGTAAAGAAAAGATCGAATACGTCGAGGAGGTCATCAAGCTTCTGGAGATGACCGAATACGCTGACGCCGTTGTCGGTGTCCCTGGTGAAGGTCTCAACGTTGAGCAGCGAAAGCGTCTTACTATCGGTGTAGAACTAGCTGCAAAGCCCGCTCTTCTTCTCTTCTTGGACGAACCAACCTCTGGACTGGACTCTCAAACATCTTGGGCTATTCTCGATCTTCTGGACAAGTTGAAGAAGAATGGCCAGGCTATTCTTTGCACTATCCATCAGCCCAGTGCCATGTTGTTCCAACGTTTCGATCGTCTTCTATTCCTGGCCCGTGGTGGACGTACTGTCTACTACGGAGAGGTCGGTGAAAACTCCAAGATTCTGGTCGATTACTTTGTCCGCAACGGAGGTCATCCTTGCCCACCCGCCGCTAACCCTGCTGAATGGATGTTGGAAGTCATTGGTGCCGCTCCCGGTTCACACACAGACATTGACTGGCACCAGACCTGGCGCAACTCTGAGGAGTATCGTGAAGTCAAGCGCCATCTTGCTGAACTCAAGTCCGAACGTGGTCAGGCTGAAGCTCTCCAGCGTACTTTGTCTGCTCAGAAGCGTGAGGACAAGGCCGCCTTCCGCGAGTTTGCCGCTCCTTTCCCTGTTCAACTCCGCGAGACCATGGTCCGTGTCTTCCAGCAATACTGGCGCACACCTTCGTACATCTACTCCAAGACCTTCCTCTGTGTTCTTTCGGCTCTCTTCATCGGTTTCTCGCTCTTCCAGATGCCCAACACTCAGACGGGTCTCCAGAACCAAATGTTCGGTATCTTCATGTTGATGACAATCTTCGGTCAGTTGGTCCAGCAGATCATGCCTCACTTCGTCACCCAGCGTGCTTTGTATGAGGTCCGTGAACGTCCTTCCAAGGCCTACTCGTGGAAGGCATTCATGATCTCCAACATCGTTGTCGAACTTCCCTGGAACTCCCTCATGGCTGTGCTCATCTTCTTCTGCTGGTACTACCCTATCGGCCTGTACAAGAACGCAGAGTATACTGACGCCGTCACCCTCCGTGGCTTCCAGCTCTTCCTCTTCACGTGGATGTTCTTGCTCTTCACTTCTACATTCACGCACATGGTTATCGCTGGTCTCGACTCCGCCGAGACTGGTGGTAACTTGGCCAACTTGATGTTCTCGCTCTGCCTCATCTTTTGTGGTGTCCTCGCTCAGCCTTCCACGTTCCCTCGCTTCTGGATCTTCATGTACCGTCTTTCGCCCTTTACGTACATGGTGTCTGGCATGTTGTCTATTGGTCTTGCCAACAGTGTAGTCGAATGTGCGCAAAACGAGTTGATTCACTTCAACCCTCGCCCGAACCAAACTTGCGGTGAATACATCGCGGACTGGAAAGCATTGGCTGGCGGCAAGATGCACAACCCCGAAGCAACCGAAAACTGCAACTTCTGCGCCATTGAGGACACCAATGTCTTCCTCGCCAGTATCTCTTCCAGCTACTCCACCGTGTGGCGCAACTTTGGGTAAGCCAACTTCTCTGACATGCTTAAACGAACCATTACTGACCCTCTTTCGCAGAATTCTCTGGGCCTACGTCATTTTCAACATCGCTGCCGCTCTCCTTCTCTACTACCTTGTCCGCGTACCCAAGACCAAGAAGGACAAGAAAGACAAGAAGGAGGTCGGTGGACACAGTGGCGCTGTCAAGGAGGAGAGGCTTGATCAGCCTTCGCACGTTGGTAGCAGCCGCAACTCAAACGCCGATGGTGAGAAGAATGTTGAGCCCGCAAGATACGCTTCCATCACCGGCGCCAACACACCACCAGCCCAAGAGATCTCAGAGAAGGCATAAGCACAACGCTTAACCGCCTTTTCATCTTTTGTCTCTCATTTGGCTTTTTTGATAGACGTTTTCGCTGATATCGGCCTTATACCTTTTCAAGACTTAGATCTACTGTTTCTCATACGCTCAAGCGCTGAGCACACTCATCAAGCATTTCTTGTTTTTTACTTCTTACATGTATGTACATACACTCACCTAATCCAACAATGGTCCGCTTGCCAACTTGCGTACCATTATGTTGATATGACTGGAATATGACTGGAACTTCAAAATGCTTGGGCTCTAACACGATGTGTTTGTGAATGTGAAGTATAGCCAGCTGTCAGGATGCATTATGTTATGAGATTGTTTTACAACTAGTGACAATGACTATGGTTCTTGGCAAGTTCATCTACGCAACAGTATCAGACTCTGTATGGGCGAGCAATCCAGCACCTTCATCCCGGCTATGCCCGACACTTCTCCATACATGGCCCTCCGTGCGTCCAGTCCTCCGATCTTCAATCCTTCTCGCAACCACAAAGCCCCAGTGCCATGCTAGTCCAGTGACGAAACCAACTGCGTCATTCTTGAAGGTAAGAAGAGCAGCCACAGTGACAAGCATGACCATCCACCTGTCCTTTCTGTCCCGCTCATCGAGGTCCCTGACTCTCTTGCCGTCCCATGTCATGTCCCTGTCCAACACACGAAGATCGCGGGCGTCCGTGTTGATGCTCTCACCCACTTTGGCTAGTTCCACGCCAGCAGCGAGAACTAAGACACCGAGTAGTGCCTTGGGGATGCTGTGAAGCACACCAATAATGGCTGATGATTTCCAGAAGGCGATAAGACCGAGTACGAATTTGACGATTCCTAGGAAGATGATACTAGAGCCACTGCGCGCGCCGAACCTGAACTGACCCGCTAATCCCCCGGAGCCGTGACAGGCGGGCATGGCTCCGAACCAGCAACCTACGAGATTGATCGCAGCGACGGAAATGCCTAGCTCTGTAACCGTAGGTGCAGCTGGGTACGGTGGTGATGGCAGGAGGTCAGACGCGAGCGCCGATGCTGCAATGACAGAGTTGAGGAGCGTAAGAGGCAGTTGGCCCAGAGATGCGGTTGTCGTTGCTTTCAGAAAATCTTTGCCAGAGGGATGAAGAATGGGAATCGCGGCACGTGGCACATGAACGTCTTCGCTTTGCGGAGATGCAAATGATAGTAAGATGCCCACTATGAAGATGATCATAGCATATGGCACCCTAGGATACGGGAAAGTGAACAGTAAGAGGACAACTGCTGCAACCGCCACAAACAGGTTATCGCCCCACCAAGGACCTGTCCACTCTAGTGAGGAAAGTAGCTTCGTTCCGGTGCTCAAGCATAGCGATAGACCTGCTCCTACTTGAATTCCTTTGACCACTGGGATTGGTGTAACGCGATTCGCCCAGTTGATCAAGCCCAGGATACTGAATACGCCTACTAAGGCCGCAACAACAAGACCTGCGGCAGCGTTCTCTTCCATGGTAAACTGTCGAGCTATAGCTACCGCTGCGATAGCTTTCATTGGCTGCACAGGCAGGGGTATTCCGAACGCAAGGCCTGTCAGGATATTTGAGGCTCCGGTAAATAGCAATGTCGAGGGTAAGGATATCGAGTTCGTCAAGACCAACGCAGTCATCAGCGGCAACAGAGTTCCGAGGTCGCCCAGCGAGCCGGAAAGCTCTGCCAACGGTTGCGATTTAATCGTCTCGACATTATGTATTTGGGTGCGGCGAAAGCGCCGCATCGAGTTCCTTAGGAAAGACATGAGGTTTGCGCAGGTAAACAAGCAACCGCTAAAAAAGCAATGGAAATGGCGAACAGAGGAAAGAAAACAGATCTAGGGTTGCCGTATCATGATGGGAGAGGTGTGTCGTTGCGAAAAGGTGGCATGCAAACGCGGCGGGTCCCGGAGACGACTCGTATGCTCGATAAGCTCATGCGCACGCGGAAGAAAGACGTCACTCAGCCTCGTCGCTATGGGTCTCGTGCGCCCACACCGCCTGCAGCGGTACAACGTGACAACACACACACGGCCTGCAGGACTGTCTTGAACGAGCGATTATGCATTGTCGCTGTCTCCACGTAAATCAACGGTTGCTGCGGAACTTACTGTATAGAGTAACTTGAAGCTCCATGTGGCTTGCATGAAGGGGCACGGCGGGCGCAGCTACATTAAGCGATCATTGGTCAGACCGCTATCTGCTAGTATGCGGCTGGGTGGAAAAGGGCACGAAAGGGCAGAGACAATCGATGGTTTCCTCCAAACTTGCCTAATGAGGGTGTATCGAGTAGCACACGCCAAGGGCGCGAGGGGCACCGAGGGGCACCGGATCCTGGCTGTAATCGATGGTTTTCCATTACTTACCCAACACGGTGGTTTCGGAAGCTGGGGTACAGGGTACGAGGGTATGCACTGTGGGATGCGATGCAATGCAGTGATAGACGGACCCTGGGAAGTTACCAAGGCGGTGTATTCGGGAGGGAGTATGCGGGGGACAAAGAGAACGGAATAACAGTCGTATAGCAATCCACACAGCTCCTACTCTACCTATTTCCCTGCATTCCGTTGCCGCATGCCTGTCAAATATCAGCACGAAATCAGTAAGAAAGGAGCGGAGCCCGACATTTCGACTTACAGGTTCGAGCGGGTAGTAGCAAAGTTGTGTATCGTACACACACCGCTGATGATTGAGAAAGTAGATTCGGATTCTTCGTTCTATCCACGATCTACACTCGGAAAGGATTTTGAGATCTATTCCAGATATCTGTTCGTGTTCCGACTTGCGCGACGACAGTTATAAACAATACTTTTCTTGATTCGGCAGCTACACGCGCAGCTAGATACTCCACCATGCTCACGACTTCGGCCTTCTTGGCAGCGGTTAGTGCTGCTTGTTTGGTCAAACTGGGCAACATCTGGACCCTGAGCGAAGTCCGGTCCCGCAATTGAGCCATCAACACCAACATCCGTCCACACATGCGCCTTGTTGAAGCCGTGACGATGAAATCTCAACCCACCAGTTCCACAAATGGAACTATACTATCAGATGTGGGGAACATACGCGTCGATGTGCACCCCATGGGTCCTGGCATACATAGAAGCTGCTGTCGCCTTGTGGTTCCTTAGTACTCGGCATTTAAATCCTCTCCTGCAGCGATTCTGAATCTTTGGAAAAGACCAACTCTACGAACAGTAAAATGAGTCCATCAGCCATCAGCAGCGTCGCCAGCGCACTTACTTCTTCTACAACGTCAGCGACGGCACAGACACCAGCACTCTTCTCCCTCGCAGGAAAGACAGTCGCTATCACAGGAGGTGGACGTGGACTTGGAATAACTCTTGCTTTCGCTGTGGTTGAAGCTGGTGGACATGCAGCTTGTTTAGATATTCTCCCAGAACCAAGCAACACAGAATGGCAGGCATTGACGAAACTTGCCAATCAACTCGGTACCTCAGCGACATACCGTAGATGCGACGTCACTAGCGAAGCGGAGGTTACCCAGGTTCTGGAGGAGATATCAAAAGAGGGAGACGAGCGAGGTGCACCACTCAATGGTATGGTCGCATGCGCGGGTATCCAACAAAGGGTACCAGCGCTGGACTATGAAGCCTCGGACTTTGAGCGTATGCTTCGCGTGAATGTGGTAGGCGCGTTCATATCGGTCAAGAGGGCAGCGAGGATATTGAAAGACAAGGGTACCGGTGGCTCAATTGTGCTCATCGCTAGTATGTCGGGTCAGGTTGCGAACAGGGTAAGGACTTCTCCATCAGTTGGATGTGTTAGTGGATCTAACCATAATCTCAGGGTCTTACCTGCACAGCCTACAACGCCAGCAAATCAGCTGTGCATCAAATGTGTCGCTCGCTAGCGCAAGAATGGGGTCAATACGGCATTCGGGTGAACACGCTTTCGCCAGGTGTAAGGTTTTTCGCATCCCATTATATGGGAATTTTACTAATTGGATACGCAGTACATTCGAACTGCGATGACCGACGAACTCCTCGCAGCGGATCCAGATGTAGAGAAGACATGGATGGCCGGCGCTTTACTTGGAAAACTTGGCGTACCAGATGACTTCAAAGCCCCAGCGGTGTTCTTATTAGCGGAAGGCAGTCGGTTCATGACCGGCGCCGACCTGAGAGTGGATGGTGGCCACTGCGCGTCGGCGTGAGGCTCCCAATACAAATTCTATCACAATTATATCCATCGACTCCAGTAGGTTGGGCCCCCTTCTCTAGCATATACAGCCACAAGCGATGCCTGGGTGGATTATTACAACCACGGTACGCTATACCAGCGTATGGCAAACCCACAATACGGAGATCCGACTGTTTAAAGTATCGTCTTTTTCAATTTTATCTTCTTCATCTTTCATCTTACAAAAACTTAAGTGCGTTTTCACAAGCATAATACAACTACAATCCAGCCATGTCCACCAACAGCATGAACGAGCCGAATCATCCCCCGCCATCTTACAGCACTCTCGATCCAACTTCCAACAACATTTCCAATCCATTCACATACACCACTTCAAGTCCGCCTCCTTATACCGCTTCCGATCTGCCTCTCTACACTACTTCTGCACCACGTGTTCAGAACAGACCGAGCCCACTTTCCACACATATCGAATATGTTCCCTCCTCTCCTAGCCTCATCCACGCTTCCATTCATTCAGCATATCGTACATATGCAAGTAACGATATCGAGTCTGGATTGAACACAGAGGTCACTCCGCCGGATCGCTCATTGGAAGCTTACCAAACGCACCAAACATCGACGGCCCAGAACTCATTGGGCAGGGACATGGCTTCGGACTTGACGTCGGATGAGCAAAGGGGAATGTGTTTATTTGCTGGTCTGCTCTGTTGGTGTGTCTTCTTCATAAGCATCTTCTTATTCGTCATCCTCGTCCGTTATTATAGGGATTAAGCACGAAGGATCGGTAGTATCAGGTGATCGGGTAGGGTAGATTGGGAGTGCTCTGTGGTGTGCCATTCTGTAGGTTTGTAGTTGCAAGTTTTTTGAACCGACAACGGGTAGTGGATCCTTACTTCTCACCAGGGTATTTTGAACTTGTAGATTTAGGCATCTAACTATTGGAAGTTTGTTGTAGCCGTCTCGGATCTTTGACGCTCCCCAAAATTTGTGTTTTCCTGAATACTTCTCAGTCCAATCGTATTGCGGTCGCTTGAGTAGGGTTATTACGCCCGTTTATCTGTATCCACATAAGCTCGTCCCATTCGGAACATAATTAACAGCACGATTCCATCTTGGTGAAATGGTAAGAGGACCACGAGTTTAGCTTTAGAACGAAGTAAGGTGTATATTATCGAGCTCCGTTGAAACTTATCTACCAACCACAATTGAGGTTGGTGTAGGAGAATGACGTCACCCTTACACTTGCGCCGAGGGAATTGGCTGTACAGTCCGGTCCTTAGAGTTTCGCGCTACACCATCTTGATATTTGTATCCATCCTGGCAGAGAAACTCGATGCTGACCGTGTTGGCTTGGCTTATAGTTCCTCAGCGTACACGTAGCTAAGTCAGGCTGAAAGCACACAAGGCTGAGAATGTCCAAGGCTGAGCCGATCCCCGCACTGTTGTCCCCAATGAGTGGCCATCTGCGATAGGTCGCATAACTGTGCTGCGCCTCCAGGCAGAAACAACTATCTTGCCAAATTCTGGCTATCACTTCATCCCACCTTCTGACTTTGCGTACGCCCATCATGGCCGAAGTGGCCGGCACCATTTTTGGTGTCATCTCTCTCTCCATACAGCTGTTTGAAAAACTGAACACGTACACCAACAGTGTCAAAGATGCAAGAACGAAGGCTGAACAAATCACCAGCGAACTGGACACACTGGTGAACCTTCTTGAGAATCTGGAGACCATCATCAGCAGACTGGACCCTACTACATCCACCGCATTGACTAGGAACAGCATTCAAGAATGCGCACGGGCTATTGAGGTGATCAGATCGAGATTTGGAGACGTCCCGCCAGTAAAAGGCTCCGTCAGGTTCTGGACACGTTCTGAGAATGTCATCAAGCGACTGACATATCCCTTCAAAGAGAACGATATAAAGTACTGGAAGGATGTTCTGGCCAGCATCCAACAGAGCCTACAGACCGCGTTGCTGGTATCGCAAATGTAATAAACCGTTCCACGTACGTTGTAACAATATCTGAACTAACACTTCCTAGCGATCAGCAGCAACGATATTTCATGACTGTACAAGCACAGATTGGTCAACTCTCCCTCAATACTAGTGCTGGAATTCAGATGATCATAGACCGGCAGCGATACTTCCAGACTCAAGATAGCAGCTACACCACACGCCAGAACCAGATGTGTGGCATCAGCTGTCTCTTCGATCAGAGACTTCACGATTCTGGGCAGCGCCTTCTTGATCTGGGCCAACAAGTACGTACCGTTCGTGGCGTGGTTGAGCTAGAGCTCCACTGGCTCTAGCAATAGGACTTTGACCCAGACATAGGAAATGTTGCTGAGCATAACTAAGCTTAATGTAGGACTATCTAACCCCTTCCCTACCACCAGTGTCGGCAATACAATTAGAGAGTGATATGGAAAACCTAAATCACCAACGTACAGCTCAGCCCAATCTCTCGCTTCTGAGCAGAGGGGCAATCAATAGTGGCTACTGCACATGTCGCGGAATGCACCAGGAGAAGCGGCTGCTCCAGCGACCAGTGTTACTCTCATTGGAAAAGCAATACCGTCATGATCGCCGTTGCCCATCCTGGCTTCCCGAAGCTTATGCACTAAACGTCAATTTCGGGTTCATCTTGAGTTACTTGGTGTTTGGACTAAAGCTTCGCATACTCATGGCGTTGTCAATCGGTGCTGGGACATTTTCGTTGACACCGAGCTTGACATGCAGCCGCATTGTCTCAGAAAGCTCGTCTCCTGCTTTTGTAATACTTGCTTCTATGACAAGCTTTCATTCTTCCCAAAGAACACTTCGCAAGAGTTCCATGGAGTTATCACGGATCTTCCAAACCCGTCAGTCATCGCCGCACGACCGTTTGGAGAATGGACAAACTTTGCTACATGTGAGTATTACACGTTTAGTCTTTTTGGTTCTAGAGTTACTGAGTGGCATTAGTATTTTTGTAGTAGAATTTCTCAGAGCGTGTGGTCTATGCATCCCAGCGAGTTAGATGAATATCGCTCTGCACTTAATCAGCTTATACGCCACATGTCGTCCACTGATGCAATGGAGACTGACGACCAAGGGAAGTGAGTATATCTTGGTGTATAGTATCTCAATATGGCTAATGAAGTGACTGTAGCACGTGTGTTGATGTTCTCCTAGGTGCGACTGAGCCGGTCGATCAAAGGTGGAAGATACTCGTCACTGATCTTCTAAATCGAGACTTCAAGGTCTCTGTGAAATGCCACCCACAAGACTGTTTCGAAAGCTATGGTTCTTGGGTAGGAATCCATTTCGACTCTTTCGCTGACCCTTTCTTCGGTGCGCTCGATTTCGCTACAAGGGCAGCACTTTTGAGGTCTGAAGAGGAATTTATCAAGGCTTTACAAGCAGGTGTTGTTGATCATTCCTTCGACAGCAAGAAGATTGTGAATTTATACAAGATGACGACTCGTATGGGTTGGGTGCCTGGCTGCAAGTACCTACTTGACGCCAAATACAGTTACGTCCCTGAGCAGCGTAGAATGGATCAGTCGTACGCAGTTCCTGATCCTCTTCTTTTCGACGCCATAGAATCACAGAATCAGGCAATGGTACAACTCTGGCTTACACAGCGCGACAAGGCTACAGCGGCGCAACTTCCTTACATAGGACGCCTAGAGGCAGCTATCGTGCATGCTTCTGAGGCATGTCAACAGGAACAGAGTGCGAAGATGCTCGTCACACATCTAATCGAGCAAAGACGTCATATTCGGGAGGAGGTAGTAAACCGGGGTATACAATGCCCATGTGTTACAGAGTCGAATAGTGTGCTCGACGTCCATACTACTTGTGCATTATCTGCACTCGACGATCAGGGCTTTCAGATATCACACTCTCTTCGTCCGTCCCGATTCAGCGTGTACAGCGTACACAGGCTCTATACAGAACAGCCAATGGTTTATCAGGAAGTAGGCGATTCACGGCGTACATTCCAGATGCTTTACGATGCCGGTTTCCGGGATATTCAAGTGGATAAGTCGCAGTACGATCATAGCACGTACTGCTCACCGCTGATCTTTGCAACAACAGGATACAGAAGATTTTATCCTAGTCCAGGGTCGTGTATCCGGTTTTTTGAATTGGTGGACTGGTTTCTTTCCAAAGGAGCGACTCTGACCGAGTGTTGGCCAGGCTCTAAAACCACAGCGCTGCATTGCATCAGCGCAAAAATAGCTTCACTCACGTGGAGGAGACCTCTCAAAGACGACTGTTTGACAAAGATCGCAGCTACACTTCAAGAACGTATATTCGATGACTGCAAGTGCAGTTGTAGCACACATGGCTGTTCGGGTATCACGTCCTTTTGGAAAGGTTCATATCGATTTGATGTTGGATATATGGCAGATATTCAAGAACTGATCAGACCGGAAGGTGTCAAAAGCGAGCCTTCAAAGCATCAGCGCATAGGCCGCTGGGAACTTGAGCGCCTCGTCCGTTGTGTTGTGGCAGCAACAAAGTCATTCGGCCACCGGTGGATCATCACCGAGTTCATTCGGTTGTGCGTGTTCTCGCTGCTAGGGATACGCCATGCATGTTGCAACCTCTACAATATCGAGCACCGCGGAGATCCAGCATTCGAGCGCCAACCTCTGCCAAGATATACTCTAGCCAAATCGCAACAGATCGCAGAAGAAGACGAAGATCTTAAAGGTGTCTTGGAGAAGATGGTTTCCTCTCTCGATGCCCAATATGATCCATATACAGGCAATCTTCAATGCTTCATAGACGAATTGCTACTACCCCAGACTGAGGCTGAACTTGAACGTTTGAAGACAGAGGACAAAGATATGTTCGATGTGGGCAGACGAACCCTGGGTGTTGTTATGGCTGCTTAAGCGCTGACCTCAGTCTTTTCGATTGAATAGAAATGGAGAATGTTCAATGAGGCAATTGTTTTCGCAAATGGACCCATATCATGATCTGACGGTACCGATGTTCACGAACAATTGAAGCTTATACTTGGATTTCCTATGAGGCTTAGCGATTTCAGCCTGGAGGTCGGCCTTGTATAGATAGCGAATCGTAGACCTGGAGAAAAGCCACGATCAGTTAGATACATTTTCCAAGTTCAAACCGAAGTTCAGCCCGAAAAACAAATATATATCCTACTCTCTTCAGCCCCGCATCAAATTGACCTCAATCTTTTTTTTTCCCTCATTTTCTAGAAGTATCGTTCTTTGGCTTCTCGCAGTGTGCACACAAGACCCACTTGATCCTCTACGTCTATCCGACAAGGCTGTCATGCCCTTTACTCACCCCACTCTACTCGAGAAGCATTTCGATACATACGCCGACATGACAGCCGCAGGACAGCAAGATATATCCCGAGACTGCGCCTTTACTCTACGTTTACTCATCTACAATCACGCTAGAGAGTCTCCACCATACTATCATGTACAACAAGGAAACTCGAGATTTGTAGGACAGTATATAATGCCCTCTTGAGCAAAGCCGTTAAAGTAGATACTAACCTGCAAAGTGATATGCGGTCACACACCTCGAGCATCGGAAGGCATTCAAATTCTGTATTGAACGCTTCTTCTTCTGATGCAATTGTTGCGTATGGAGGCATGATGGTATGGTATTGTAGTGCATGTGGTGATGGCCCCAATGCTATTTGGCAGAACGGATGCACGACCTGCAGCCATATAAGGTGTGCTGCTTGTATTTGGGAACCGATGAAATAGTTGTCGATGTTCGCTCCCATCAGGGATTAGTTAACTCAATGAAGGAGTGTTTTGGTTGCACTGGCACTATCTATGTTGGACAAGGAATCTAGTGCCATGTCAAAATGAAATGCACATTTGCTTCAGCTGAAAGGACTGGTTCGAGAAATAGTTGTTGGAATAAGCTCAATCATCCTTTTGTTACACGGAGAAACTAGTGGAGTGACAGGGTGCACTTCTAGGGTAGATATTGCTGATACGAAGCACGAAGCTCCTTAGGAGACCAAGTGACGATTGGACGACGTATAGAATTATAATGTGATGTAAGTCTCATCAGACTATTTACCAGCTACAACAAAAGGGGGTATATCAATTACAGGAAGAACATAGTTTTGTTTTGCTTAGTGGAACAGATCTTGAGCTGCTGCCGCAGTCGCCTGGGCTTGCGCCTTGGCTGCCTCGTTAGCAGCAGCCATGGCAGCTGAGAGGTCATTGTCGACCTTCTGCTGAGAAGAGCTACCAGGACGGTTGTCACCGGTTCCTTCACGTTCTCCGACTGCAGCTGCAGCGAGGTGTTGCAGTCCGGCCATGTTGGGTTCTAGCGCAGGACTGGCTTGCTCCGGACCAGTGTAAGGGGGAGTAGAAGACTTCTTCTTTTGGAGCAATTCTCCAATCGCTGTTTCCCAACCCAGACCGTCGGAGCTGCGATGTATGATCTGTCCGTTCGACAGCGCATCGTTCATCTCCTTGATGCTTGCGTTCGCCTCAGCTTGCATCTCGGCTCGGTCGGCCAATTCCGTAAGAGACGTAGCCACTAGAGCGGCGAAGATGTGGTGCAGAGGAGTTATAGCGCCGCTTGTCAGGTTACTGAGTAGTTCTTTGGTGGCCTCGAAAACTTCCGCAGAAGGTATGTTTTGCAATGACAGTCGCGCGATGAACACTCTAAGATACTGATGCGCCAAGTGAGGAGGGGAGTTGCGCGTCAAAGTCGTCAGATCAATGGACTGTTTGACTTCGTCTAATGCCCCATTGAGATATTCTGATTCCACGGTCCCAGGTTTGAGTGCTGAAAAGGCAAAGGGAGCCGATGACTCGACATTTGGAACGCTTCCTGCGCGGTTCACGTAGGCTATCCGGCCAACAATCAAGGCAGTACCTGGGAAGTGTTAGTCAAGTGCTTCTGAAACGCAAAAACTTGTACTTACGGGCAAGGTAGTAGCCGACTTCGCCCAGAGCTGTGTAGTCGTCGCGCGAAAGAGTCCCAGAATACCTTCGAATCATCATGTCCTTTGATCGACTAGAGCCATGGAAGCGATCAAGAATCAACGCAGTCCAATACACGCGACGTGCCGTCTGGTATACTTCAAGGTCTTGCTCTTTCATTGCAGCCAATGTCCTCGAGTCGTTGATCGCTGCGTCAGCAATACAGGCTGAGATGCGGCCCAGTAGTCCTGTTGTACTGCCTATGACGCCTGGGCTCGGTCTGTCAGACGCTGCAGCAAGCAGAATCATTGACTGGCAGTACACCAAATGATTGTAAAACTGCCTTGAGCTGTCTGTGTCGTGAAGGCAATAGTTGGCCGCATCGACAGAAGTAAAGCATTGTTGTAGCAGCTGGTTAAGGCTGATCTCGATAGGCGGCAGAGCCTTCGAGGCAATAGATCGGATGCAGCCTTCTAGTGACAAGAAGAATGCCTCCCGTAGCTTCGACGGACAGTTTGTAAGGCGGTTTAATTGCGATTCGTGATGTGGTAAGACAGGCAGTGTGGGGTGAATGATGTTGTAGTATCTGAATCAAGGTTTAGTGCCAAGTAAAAAGTTAAGGGTGCAGGTATGCGTACGCTTTGAGGATCTCTTCGTGGGAGCCAGTGATCAAGCTGCCACCTAGACTCATGTCTCCAAATGAAGTACGACGATTGCCGTTCAGCGATGATTCTTGGTCCGGTAGCACAGGCAGACCATGTGCGTCTACAGATCCGCTGTTCCCGCGGTCCTGAACAGTCCAGTTGGGTCGGCTAAAAGCGTCGTGGAATCCATCCGTCACCGAGTGAGTTCGCTGGCGCTTGAATTGCGGTGGGCTCTGGGTGTCGGGGAACGACTGGTCACCCAGGGTCCCAAAATCGAAGTTGTGTGATTGGGCAGGAGGATGATGTATCTGGCTTTCGAGCGAGTTGAGTCGGTCGGCTAGCTCCTTGATGTAACTGAACAGTGTGAGCATGCGCACCAAGTTGAGAGAACAAGATGACATACCCTTTGCTAGGTCCGCGCTTCATGGGTTGACGGCTGAATTGACAGCGCGCGCCGGTTCTCTTACAACTAGAGCAAGCTTCCGGCCCGTTCTCGCTGGTTGCGTCGCATCGAATCTACACACCGTAAGCGATGTTCGTGTGGGAAGAAGAGGCATCGCATACCTTCTTCCTTCGGCATTCGTCGCAGGCACGCGACACCTTGGATCGTTTGCGATTCGGATCGTTGGGGTCGTACGGATCGTGGTGTCCCTCCATGCTCATGACGTGTTGCGCCATTTGTTGCGGAGAATGCGTTGGGCGTGTCGGTCCTGCGAAATGCTGATGCGCGCCCATGGCGGGTCCCATATGAGCCATCTGTTGGTACTGCGGTTGCTGCGGACCGGCTGGATGCATCATGTCTCCACCCTCACGCAGCTGCTGTAGGTTCTCTTGTAGGCGCAGTTCGGGGTCCGTCAACTGGTGTTGCTGCGCCGGTGGTGTGCCATTCTGATTTGCGTATTGACCTGGTCCTACGCCCATTTGCGTGTCGGGATCCGCGTAGCCAGCCATTTCTCAGCGCGTCGTTTTCAAGACAACAAGAAAGGAGTCGATTAGAAGTTATCCAGAGCGCCGGGTCAATGTTGTTGCGCGACCGCGCGAGAGGTTCGATGTTGTAAAGCGCGAGGAGCGTGTTGTGTAAGAGGCCGACGAAGAGGGTTGTGCGAGCTTTGCGATTTTTGCGCTAGCGTGGACCATGGCAAGAGAGAGCAGATCATGGTGGACTTGGGTGAATGCGACAACAACATTATGGTGGTTGTAGGTTTACTGAGACACCGAAATGTCTACTACTTGCAGCGTTGATCGGAAGCTACTGACTGGCCGGTGACGACGTGGTCGCTGTTCGGATTATCTCTTCCACCGTACGCGCTTCCGGGACGGCCAGTGGGAGCACCATGCACAGCCATCATCAGAAGTGCCCACATACTCCAACTGACGGCTGCTGTCATTGCAACTATTAGTGAACTACTGGGTTAATTAGATTTCTGTAAATCTTCTTGCAGTGTTGCTGCACCGCATCGATCACGTTCGTCTACCTTGCGCTGGTTCCCACGTGCATATGCTCTGTGCCGACTTCAAACACCTGCACACTACGATTAACTTCTGTCCAGGAAGTTCCTAGTGAACTTGTGCATATTGGGAAAAGACGGTATCTTGACCAATACTGTTGAGGGGTGCAGACTTCTAGAATCACTGCATTCATGCGCTGGACGTCTGCACCACAGCTTTTTTACCAAAACGTCCATGATCAGGCTAATGTATCCTTTTCAGTGTATAATGCTGACACCGAAATAACCTCATGTCAGACCCGGTGATTACTCCCCTGAGGAGGCTTTCGCAGATCAGCGGCCCTAGAGTCCTACGACACGTGCTATGAATACTTTCGGCGACGGCTGGCTGCAGCATCGGGTCGAGGGCGAGATCACCAAGAGCAGTGCGATACACCGACAAAGTACCATACCCCACGGAGAAGACTATGGGGTTCCGTTTCAAAAACATTATGCCAACCCTATGCCCAGCGGTTCTAAGGTCTGGACACTGTGTTGGATCTAATATTTACTTTGCGGTCCTCCCACAGTTACATTGCTTGGTGTTCAACACACACCCTAGCGCTCTCTGCGACCGGGCCTTTTGAGGCGAAATATACAAGCGGACAATGTACCTGAAAGTAATGGATAGGCTTGCTTCCGGTTCTATATGTGCTGGACGCTATCGACGCAGACAATACAGATGATCTCCACTTGGCAACGGGCGACGGATGCTTTGAGTTACGGCCGTCGCGGCAAGAGAAACACGCTGACTCGACAAGCGAATCGCGGCCGCAATTGAAACATGCCGTGCGTGGAGTCCCGCATTATTAGAGGCGGGCTGGCGAGGCCAGCA